ATGCGGTCAAGTGTGAGAATATTTTTACATCAATTAGTCGCCAATTGGTGTGAATAGATGCACTAAGACCAATTGGTATGAAAATATTCCTACATTTGATCGCATGAGAATTTTTTCATGTGAAAAAGTTTTCTGAAAAACATTTTCATACGAACCAAACGTGCAGTTTGAAGAAAAATACATTACATAATGAAAAAATAAAGAGCTTGGTTTCAATATTCATAATATTTTCACAAGAATTTCAAAATTTTGGCAATATCAATCACCATGCAATCGTTAACATTTATGGGTATGGGTATGGGGCACTTCAATATCGGTTGACATGAGGAGTAAGAGTGAGAAAAGAAGGGATAATGGATAACCAAAATTGTAAGACCAATGGCTTTAGTAGTATTACCAATAGCAAGAACAGGACGCTTCTTCATTGTCAGTGCTTGCTTTCTTAGAATGAGCCTCTCTTTATTGGAAAGAGACTGCGCTTTGAAAGAGGTTTCAACGCCAATACTGCTTACTCGTTTATCCAAAGGTTTGGATGAGCTGGTATTACCAAGGGGAGCTTTAGATGATAAGCCCGTCGGTTCGATCATTGGAGGGAGCAGAGGTTCACCCTCTGTGGTGGCCAATGCAGGCTTATTATGAAGCTGCAAATATCATGAAGCAAATAAGAGCATTGTTAGTGTAATATTCAGCAAAGGGATGGGAAGTGCATGTGAATAGTACATTACCATGATATCTTCAGTATGAAAATCTGGTTCAAGCTCCAATCTCTCTTCTGCTTCATCTTGAGATACACAGGAGCATGATCTAGAGACAACTGTTTTTGATGAAGACACATCTTTGGGTGATTTCTCAAAATCCCTGGGAAAACGTCTTTTTACAACTACTTGCTGCAAGATAGAAAATGGTGTTATTATACTGCAGAATTAGAAGACAACTAGGGTAGGTGCCCAAGTCCCCACTGACTTACCCAAAAAACAAAAAGAATTAGAAGATAACAGCACTAAATAATACACCTTTCCATGGCTAGGAGTCAAGACCTGTGCATCATCGGCATAAGAAGTGGACCACCTCACACCATTTGAAGGAGTCACAACATCTTCATCATCACTGGAAGAAGAATGCAGAGGACCTTGGGATGCATCTCCATTCTGGTCTTGTAAGAGTCGCCCAAAGATAAGATTTAAATGTTGGAAAAATCCACCAGCATATGATCAATACAAGAGAGAAAAATCTGCTCAAAAGCAGTCTGCAAAGTGCCCTATGCTCTCCAGTAATGAGATTTGTATTTGCTCTTAAGATACAAGTTCTGTCACAAAATATTTGATTTATAAGACTTTTGGGACCTCCAAAGTACGTTAGAAGTTCCAGGGAAATCGAACACGCATAAAGCAGTGCTCTACAATTCATTATACAAGGGGAGAAAAAACAAACTTGTGTAATTCCCATCACCACCAGCCGTGTGAAGAAGAGAGAGAACAGCCAAAACTCATGTAACAGTAGTAATACGTGCCACTCGATAAAACTCATTTTGAGGCAGAAATATGAATGAAAAACTTGGTCTGCATCCAAGTTTTTCCTCTTACTTGCTTTTTTCATGTTAACTTGACTAACAAGTGATTTCTTGTAATGTGGTCACATTGTAGTATGATCTACATGGCGAGCTTGGTTTGATTCCCATGACAAACATTTTGTTTTCAAAATAAAAACCTAAAAAACTCCCAGAGTTTTTTGGCATTAACTATTTGACTACGTAAGTTGACTCAGTTATGGCAATATGACCGACTCAGCTTGCGCTTTGAGATTTTCTAACACGTATTTGTTCTGCTAGAAGTAGCCAGATTATTATGGACAAGGAAAGCTATTAACTACCCAAGCAGAAGCATGGAACCAATCTGACTTCTTATCAACAATTCTTCGCAGTTCATAATTTTGAGGTGTTCAGACCAACGCAAAAACTGATTCATCTCTTGAATACGAGCTTGTGGAAGAACTTTTTTTTTTTGTTTTTTTTCTTCTGACTGTTGACAATATATTACTAACATAGAATGTACATATTCCTCACGAAAGTGAGTATTGGGCAGCACACAAGCTGGTTGCTCTACAGAAATATCCAAATATCAACAAAAAAGAAAGATGTCAAAAAAGGTTATACAGCAGCTCACAAGTGAGGTGCTCAAACCTAAAAAACCAAGCTAACACGTCAAACTCGTGCGATGTTAAGAAAATGAGGTAACACATCAAACTCATGCGATATTAAAAAACTGAGCTAATATGCCAAAATCATGTGACGTAAAAGAATCGAGACAGGTAATGTCTAGGCCCATATGACGAAAATGGTCGGGTTCTCCAATTCAACATCAAACTCGTGTGACATAAAAGAACCGTGAAAGGTACTGTCTATCCCCATATGACGTAAAAGGTCGGGTGTATTGTCCATCGCTCTTAGAGGGCTCCATGATTGCAGGAGTTGAAATTGCTAACGAACATTGCTTTTCGAAATATCTTTTCTCTTCAAAATTTTCACCATATGTATTGTGTTTTCAAAAACTTTAATTTCTTTGTTAAAATCATAGTTTGTCCCTGCTCCAGGTTCTGTTTCAAATGCCTTCCTACATTCAAAATTTTTTAAAAAGACTTGTCAAAACGAAGGAGCTTGGACACCCGTATATGATGAATATCGCGTTTGCCTAAGACTGAAAAAGGGGAAGGAGGCAACCCACAAGTAGGGTGCTCGAAAGCTCATGAGATCAAAAGATGGTGAGCCCAAAAGTTGGGTGCTCAACCTAATATGACATAAAAAGGAGTAGATGGCAGCCCGCATAACCAATGCTCAAGTACTTATATCGTATGTAGAGAGGGGGTAAGTGAAGAGTGTAATGAGAGGTCCGAGAATGGAGGCAAGATGAGAAGATGAGAATAGAGGGAAAGGGGGATGGAGACTAGAGAAAGAAAGGAAAGGAGGACTGAGGTGGAGGTCAACAGGGACAACAGATGGAGAAAGAACGATTTAATAAATTAATAATTACGTATTAATTATCATATTTTCAAGACAGTGCCTAGGCGCTCGCCGTTTACACTGCCTAGGCAGGCGCCTAGAGGATTCCGCCTAATACTGCCTGCAATACCCCCGCCTAGTCGTTTTTTGAAAAAAGTCCGCCAAGGCGGCCGGGCCGCTGAATTTTTGTTCATTGAACCAGGTACAGGCATAAGTGGTAGAGAGCTAAAGGGGAAAGCAGGTGGAGGTGGAATCGGGAAAGAGGGAGCTGGCAGGGAAAAGGGTTCCTAGGCTGGTTGTGGTAGAGTTTGGAAGATTAGGAATGTTTGGAGAGTTACAACTGGTGGGGATTCAGATTAGAAAACTTTTGGATTGTTGAGAGGGGGAGGGAGGGTAAGGGGGATGGTAGATGTGAATCTCGAATAGCAGGCAATCACACTTGTCAGAAAAAGGGCTCTTGCTGGCCAGGGCATTTAAGATAAGGGGCAGGTGGGCAGCACGAGCGTGCAGCTATTGGGGTCAATAAAAATTATTTCCTCAGACAAGGAAGGCTGAGCAGTGTGGTCCCCCATTGTCCCATACTCCCATCTTCAAGGGGTAGAGAGCAGTGGAGAAGTCAAGGAGGTTGGCAACAGGCAATGATCTTCAGATCCTCGGGAAGGAGGAAGCATTGGTAGGACAGCAGGAGGGATGGGAAGAGAGAGAGGTACGAGAACTCCATTAAGGGGCCGAGTGACAAGTGTGTAAATAACTGACAGGAGTAACAGCCGATTTAAGGGGTGGAGTACTCCTATCGGTGTCACAGGGCAGTGCACCATAAACGTGTCTTTTAATTACAGCTCATCCTATCAATTGGGTGGGATTCACAGGGCCGCAAACTGAGGACCCAAGGTGGGACATTGATCAGCACTTGAAAAGATCAAGACGTGGATCGGACAATCCACACAAGACAGTGGGTCAATGGGATTCCTGCATGACCATGGTCCACTCAGATTGACCATCATCCTGGGGACTATGGCTGGAGAAACACTAATTCACAGGTTCAAGGGACAGCACAGTGGTCCCCAACAGTGAAACCCAGGGAACAGGTTTGTGGGGCTCTGCCTCCTGAGACAGAACAGAGATCTTGTCACTCAATTGCCCAACCCTAAGGAAGACAAATGCTTGCACTAGAAGCATAATAGAACCAAAGTGGAGATCCTGAAAGACCTAAGGTTTAGACTCAAGAAACCTCCACATTATCTCCAATGGCCTTGTACCTGACAGTATGACAAGCATGGGTAGGGATGCCTTGAACATGGATCCAAAACGTAGATTGGGAGGTGGCAGGAAAGACGGGCTCCACGGTATGAGAATAAGTTTACCTTTCTTAAAGAAGAGATCTCTGCTAGACGCTGCTAGATCCCTTAGTTCTGTAGAAGGGAAAGACAGCATATGTGCTCCCTCAGAAAGGGAGTGACAAGTAATAAATTTGAAGTTCCAAATATTTTCAGTGACATGTCTAGAAGGTTGAGATTCAGCTATAAACAGGTCCTTGAGATGATCTAATTTGGGTTGGATAAAAGTTCCCTAGAAGTGAATGTCTCCTAGTCTGGCACATGCAATAAATAGGGAGAAAGAAGTTTGGTGTGGTTCGACCACCTGGGAAGTGCGTGTGGGAGTGGTTAGAAAGGTGGGGGCTCATTATTGGTGGAGGAATGAAAGGCTGTTATCGGTTGCTTCAGTGATGATGGCCTACTGGCTTACTAAAGCACTCAATTGCAAACCCCACATCATAGAAAGCAACTCCAAATTCCTCATGGACTCATTGAAACAAAGATGTAAGCCCCCATGGAAGTTGTATATAGTCTCAGTTAACTGTAGGGCAAGTCTCTCCTCTGCATATCACCATTGGTAAATTCTTCATATATACAGGGAGGCCAATATAGTTGCCGACTATCTAGCAAAGAGGGCGGTATCATGACAGAAGCAGCAGTGTAGCATGCTCGCCCCCCAGATGATCTAGATCTTTTATTATTATATGATGTTACTCATATTCCCCTTACAAGGGGTGTAAAATGATTTTAGTAAATGTTTTCATCTATTGTTATTTCATTAATAAAACGGGCAGGGGCCTGTCAGCCCCACTGATTCATACAAAAAAAAAAGATTACTCAGCTGGGTAGGTTAGAGAGGAGGAGCAATGGTGGGTAGGAGGGTTAATAAGTTTTTGAATACTAGTGATAAAGCTGGGGTGGGGAAAACTTGGTTGGAAGCCAATGGGTAGACAAAAGCTTCGGGCGAGGTAGCTTGCGAGGAAGAGGGTTAGGGATTTGAGTCATTTGTAAAAGCAGATATCTAGGCCTCCCCCTCAGGGATAGGAATAGGAAGAAAAGTAGGAAAGAGAACCAGAACTGAGAGATGGCAGATTTAGCAAAAAGAATAAATTATAAGAAGAAACTCAGCAAAGAAGATCCAGGCTGCTGGACAGGCTTGTCGATTCATAGTATTGGTAGCTTATGGAACAAGTTAGACATATTCTCTTGTAGCTTAGAATTTAAATTCTATTTACCCCAGACAAGAAATAGCAAGTTCCGATGGGACACATGGAATCGCTAGGACTTGGGATAATATTTTGAGCTCTAATCCATGGACTTAAAGAATCAAAACCATGGTTCAAAGAATTGTCGAGTTGGAGTAACTGAAGTGAACTCTACTATATAGAAAATCAAGTCCTATAACCATAGGACTCCATATTTAGCTGACCTGATCAGCTTTTATATGACTGGCAATTGTTCACAGGCAAGAGTATAAACAGAGGTTATGATAAGAATGCTAAGTCTCACACACTACATGAAGGGAAACTATGTTACTTTTTTGGGAAAATATCCCCGTACCCCCTATTTTTTGTTTTCATATCTCAATAGACCCAAAGATTCCAAATACATCTCCTAATACAATGACTAACTTTACCTACTTTTAACTATTTTTTTAGCCCTAACAAATATAAAAAAGACACGCTCATTCTAAACCTTTCCTCTCTTTACATGATATATTCCCTCCAAATTTCTCTCATTCTCTCTTCCTTGAGATTCTCCCCCTTCTCTCTCTCTTTCTATTTTCCCCCCCTTTCTCTCTCTAGGTCTCTCGCTCTCTCTCTCTACCCCACGTTTCCCAAAACCCCTCTCTCTCAGTTTGGGTTCCAAAAACAGACACGATCTACATACAGTTAATCATCCATGCGAATAATATTTAGAAAAAATCCACAGAAATCAAGCAAATATATAAAGAAAAATAAACCATAGAGAAAGAGAGTGGAAAAATAGGGAGAGAGAGAGGGTTTGGGAAAAGTCATGGAGAGAGATTTAGGGAAAAATCATGTGAAGAGAGAAAGGATGGTGTTTAGAAAAGATATGTCTTTATTATATTTGTTTGGGGCAAAAAAATAAATCTAAAGGGGATAAAGTTAGCTTAGAGGGTTAGAAGATACAAGACTCATAATTCCTATGACCCAAGATATATTTTGAAACCTTGGGGTCTATTGAGATATAAATCTTAAAAATAGGGGGTATGGAGATATTTTCCCTACTTTTTTGGGGTAAGGTTGCTTGAGGAGGTATACGTCACCATTAAAATGATCATACACCATGATGTCAATACCCATATGCTTCTTTTCAATGCACGTAAAATATGTAATGTCCGCATGAAAAGAGTCTACAAGCAGACAAAATAGGCTTACGGTCTGCTTTTCCTTGTTAGCAAAGAAAAAGAGCCTACAAGCATCGAGACAACCTGGAAGCTACAATTGCATAAAATTCCCATTAGTAAATTGACTATTTCATTTCTACTCATCACAGTTTTATACCCATATTGAATTATGGAAAGACAATTAACAATAGATCAATGATCAACTATCCTAGGTTCAAGATAGGAACCATGTAATAAATGACTTCTCTCACTGAAATATGTTGATTTAGTATCTCCATACCTGTGCATTTCTCACAAATAATCAAGGCAAGACATCAATGAAATTTTATAACTAGCAACCATCACAGACAAATAAAGAGATACTAAGAATGTTATACCTCCATATCCTTGAAATGATTAGAATAATCCAAGGATCCCAGGGTGTGCTCGGTGTTCCCCAATTCACAATTTGAAGAACCCAAATATCTTGTTGAATGTGGAGAAGCCACCACTCTATCATCTTTTGCCTGATCCAAGGATGTGCAAAAACAAAATGGATATGACCCACTTGTAACTACATGGCTTCATGCAAATATATCCGCTTGAAGAAAAAGATAAAAAACAAATAAAGAAGCAAAGCAGAAGCCATCACCATCTGAAGTTTCATCCGGTCTATAATTCTATCCAGCTTCAAAACGTGAAGCTTGAGTGACTACATCAATAGCATAGATGAAAAAAATAAGGTCCTGTCTGCAAAAATGCCCCTTGTCTAAGAACTGATCTAGGCTTTTATTCCTAATCAATTGCATTGACAATAGAAGCAAATTAGACTAACATCAATAGGAAATCACAATTGGAAATCACCTCACGACGCTGTGCCTCTAAAGAATGCTTCATCGCCTCTCTTTTGTTTAAGAGATTTTGAGGCCTCAAATTATCAGGTCGCTGGTAATTCTTCCCACGATAGACAATAATAGCATGACCCTTGTTCACTGTCTCAACTGAAACCAATATTCCACCACTTTCAGCCTCCAATGTTCGAGCTGCATGGTGGACCTCTGCAATGCTCCTATCTTTCGAAATGATCTTTATAAGTTCTCTATACTTCCAGTGAAGATGCATGTTTTCAATTGTTCCATCAAAAACTCCTCGTCTGCCTGAACAAAAATCAAGACTAGTAACCAGTTCTGGTCCAGGAACATCACCAGATTGTAGGATGCACAAATTTGTCAACTCTAGGTTAAAAAGCAGAAGACTTCACTTACCCAACAGCAAAAACGCCTTCATTCTCAATCCAACCTTCCTTAGCATATATCTTTCTTCTTCAGTGATACCCTCCTTGTCAATATCTGGTTTCGAAAGCTCAGCCTTGCTCTCTAGCTCTGCAAGTTTCCTCTCTGCCATTTGTTTCTTTTCTAATGCCTGTCAAAAGAGAAAAGCAGTGGATTATAAACTGAACTTGGAAAACTACAACTCAGAAGGTTGAAAGACCCACATCTGACCATTATTATGCTTTTTTCCATAATATAGCATATAGCAGAAATTGCTTTGTAACACAAGTGCAACGGGAACTGTTCACTAACAACATACCTCTGACAGCTTCCAGTCCAGTCTTTTCATGGCCACATTTACTTTCATGGGCTTCAGTTGATCTTTAGATAACTTTTCTTCATCCTGATTGTTTAAATCTTGTAATTCAGCATCGGAAGTAGTTTTGACAAGTCGAACATCATATCCAAGTGAGGCCTGACTTGATAAATCTAAATTTCGATTTCCCTTCAGTTGCTTACGTAAGACGTCCACTGTCCTCCGTTCTTCTATCGCAGAAGAAACAGCAGGGGGCAAAAAATCTTTTCCTCTGTAGAAGACAATGAATTCCCTATCCCTTGAAAGAAGAGTCCCTCCAGTTAGCCGCTGCAGTATTGAGGTTACCCAATGAAACTTAATACCATTACAACATGGTTGAAAGGAAAGAGCAGTTTCCAAGCATAGACATACCCAGCATGCAGTTCACATAGCAACTGGATGAAACAAGAAATTTGATAAAGTTATTCTGTTACCTTTAGCTCTTCTGCCATTAACTCACTGTTAGTATTTTGAACTCCTCTCTTAACAGCAATCTTTGCAATTTCACATTTTTCCCATAACCTGACTATGGATGTTGCCAATCCCTGAAGGTTCCTGTTTCGTCCTTCAAAAGATATGTCATTAGATAAGGAGAATGACTTATACATCATTCCCTAGAGAGAATAATCATATGCTCACCTAATGCAAAATGACAAGGTAATGGCCGACCAAGTCTCCTTAGAGTAGTCATCTCGCTATCTGTCAACTTTGGCTTCACACCATAAGGAAGAAGCCTGAAGGGCTTGCGATAACCACTGACAGTAGCAGGTAAGAGATCAGCATCAACTGGTAGAGGTCCATATCCCCACCAATCAGTAAATCTTGGACCTAGTCCATCCAATAACCTATCAGCCTCTTTATCTAGTTGCCTTTCACCTGGAAGTTGGAATCTCACTTTATTCGGAGAACCAACACCCAATACAATGGAACGGCCAGTGATTTGCGTGGCTTCCACAGCAGAAATGCCACCAACTCTAGGTAGTGAATTTGTTTTGTTTTCCTCATTAGATCCACTTCCATAAACCACAGATGATTTGAAGGATACTTCATGAATATCCTCATTTTCCGACAAATCCTCACCAGCAACAAAATAAGGATATGTGTAGTTGGCACCTCTGTACAAGATAATTATACTCCCTGATCTACAAATAACGATGCCTCCTGTTTTTGTCTGGTAAAATCGTGATCAACATATTAGTACTATTAACTACACATAAGGAGATTTATTCATCGAAAGTATTTATAAATATAGGCGTCTCATATGAAAAGGAAAAAAGGCCTTATGCATCATGAACAGTGATTAGAGGAACAGCAGTAGTCAAACCCCAACTCAAACAAAGAAATTCATTGGTTTTAAAACATCAAAGAAAAAGGAATTTCTGATGGCATGGAAATGGGTCTACTAACAATAAAACTAATCAATCATGTTTTTAAAATTTAACTCCTTCACACAATAAAAAATAGACACAATCCGAAAACTAGGGAGACCAATTATAATTGCAATGCATTTTCTTTCTATGAATGATGTTTCTGAAAATGAATGAGATTGTTCTGAAAATATTCAAGGACAAAGCCAATATTAAAATAGGGCCGATGAAATGGCACTAAACAAAACAAAAGATTTTTTTTTTTTTCCCGAAAGAAAAAATGTCTATACAAAACAAAAAGATGCAAAACCTTGATTGGGTTGATTCCAATACCATGGGCAATATCACTAATTCTGCAAAAGCACAACGGACTTGTCCTGGAGTTGGAAAATTCAATTGTGAGAAACATCTTATTCTCAAAGTGTGATAAAAAGGACAGAAAAGAAAGATTTCTCTTATCCATGGAGACTGCATGGCATCTACTCTAAGATCTTGGACTTGTAAGTTTAGCTAGTCTGAGCTATTCAAGTCATCCCCTGGGAAGCTGACATTAGGTTTGTAATGATAGTATAGGAGTAAAAGGAAGGGTTTTGCATTTAGGGGATTTTTCTTTTCCATTGTGAGTCTTGCCATGAAGTTATGTATCTCCAGGCCCTTTCTTATTTGAATAAAAGTATGAGTTCACAAGAGACAGAAGAATTATCAACTCCACTGTATTCAACTCCAATTACTCATGCGGACATTCCATGCAATACACATTATATATCCCTGATATAGATCCCCCACCATCACCTCGTATTGCACATTACAATCTCGTCAAGAGAGAGTTCACAAGAAACATAGAAGAATTATCAACTCCACTGTATTCAACTCCAATTACTCATGCGGACATTCCATGCAATACACATTATATATACCTGATATAGTTTCCCCTCCATCACCTGGCATTGCACATTACAATCTCGTCTAGATCACAATTCTCTGATGATGTATCATCCTATTTGATCCACATAGAATCTAATCACATCTCTAATTCCTATTGGACAAAAGCCCCATCATAACACAAAGCATTGCATCTTGAAGAAGCTGTATTTGTGATTTACAAATATTTTATGCAAAGTAATCATAACATATTAGCAAAGGATTTTTGTTGGGGTTTTTTTCTTTGGGAAGGGTGGGTTTTTTTTTTATTTTACCTATTTTATTTATTTTATTTTATTTTGGCTAGGGGGGGGTTGGTGATTAAGGCAATGCTTAATAGGTAGACAGTTATAAAGAGGGACTGACTAAATTGACAAAGAAGCACAAAGCAAGTACGTCATTAAACTTTCCTCAAAGTGCATTGAAGATTAACAGGGATACATTGGCACCTGGAAGCTGAAGTAAAATGTATATGCCAACAAGTGGCATTTTCTCTCAACTGATTGAACTAGCCATTATCAATCATTGAGAAATGCAAGTGAAGTGTATTTGGAAGTTCCTCATGCTTGATAAGAAACCTGAGTATAAAAGTTAATATTGGGATTTCAAACATTATCTGTGCGTTCCCATTTGTGATGCAGATAAAATTCTTCTAGTTTGTAGCATGGTACTCAACAGATAGGCCAAATCCACGGTATGGAGACCTTTGGCCTATAATGTAGAGATATGGGGTACAGACACCGACACATATGAGGGAAGCGGAGATATGACTTGGTTTTTCCTAAAACCTGGGAGACGTCCTCTCTAACACATTGAAGCCATAGGATATGATACGATAGGAACACAATTGAACATAAAATAAGGAAACTAAAAGATGTAAAGTTATTTACATCTAACTTAGAAATGGATTAATAATAATCTTACATTCAAAGGTTAAGACATGGGGGGAGTCTCAATGTACAAAGCTTTATTTTGAGAAATACGTAATTTGCAATAGTAGTTGCATTTACATGGCTTTAGGAGTTGGGCCACCCACAGGCCAAGTGCTTCATGCATCAAATAGAGTAGCAGAAAATGGGATCAATACAGTCCCCCACCCTCAGAAAAGGTGGGATCTGGTGCACATCAATGGTAAGTCAAAAAGACGGCTATACAGTCGTGCATCAAAAACTGGTGGATCACATGACAGTCATCCCCATATGTCATCCCACTACCTCTTACCTGGTCAGACTGTCAGCTACCTGGTTGGCACCGGACATGCCTGAAGAAAACCTGCAGCTGCGTGCAGAGGTAAAAATGTGGTTAAAGAGAGGAATGAATCACCATGGGCATTGGGAGCTTTTGGAAGACCATGGGCTAACGTTCTCGAAATCCCCTTGAAAGGATGATCCAGGAAGTTGTCTTGGGTAGCCTTTTCTAAGCCCTCGAGTAGTGGAACAGTTTCGGCCATAGCCGAGTCAACCACACCAATTAAATTCGAGAATGAAAATTTGGTGTGGACCATCCCAAGCTGAATGACTGTAGCAAGCCAGCTGATAGCCATGATTTTGCAGTGAAGGAATGAGTGGTCTTGTGATTCTTCATCTGCCTTGAATATAGTGTAATGGTTGGTGAGAGGCAGTCGTCTTCGCCGCAGCTGGTCTATTGTTAGAGCTTTCTTTGAAAGTACCAGCCAGCGGTAATCCTCTTTAAGTTCAATACAAAAATTTTGAAAATGAAAAAGAAATGCACGGTTTTTATGAGTCCTAGGACTCACGTGTAGATATGAGTCCCCTCTTCATGATCCATTTTTTAGATGGATTTTGGGCCTAATTTTTTCGATATTATATATAATCTCTAATATGGAGATCACGAATGTGTAAAAAAATCAATAAAGACTAAAAATGATAATTTTTTAAGGAAAGATTCAAACTATTGATTTTACCTTTTTCGTTTGGACAAACCACAATTCGACATCCATCTTTAAGAAGGATGTGTGATGCCTTAGGGGACACAAATGTACTTATACGTCCCCTGATACAAACTACTTCACACACACATTTATGTATGCATGTATGTATGCTTGTATGCCACGCAGCAATAATTCAACCAGGAAAAAAGTGACCTAGCTAATGCACAAGAAACACGAAAGGTAGGGCCTCATCATCCTTAAGTATCCTAATATTACTTTAAACAGATTCATTTCTATTATATGCTATAAAAATTAGGGACTCAAAATCTTGACGAACTTCAAAGTAATAAGTAGGATACGGCCGACCATATCCCAAATCAACAATTGGTATTTAGACATATCAACACCAGTACCTTGGGCACATAGAGGTATCATGTGCATCACAGCCTTTTGCCCACAGAGTGCAATAGTTTTCGAGGGGGCAGCCTAGAACAATCGACAATGAGCGAACAAGTGAGGGCACCGGTTTGGATGGACTAGTTGAACCAAACCGGTTCACTGGTCGAACCGGTCTAAGAAATTAAATCATCATCATCATCATTTTAACCTTTTCCCAATTAATTGGGGTCGGCTACATGAATCCTAGTTCTCCATTATGCTCTATTAAAGGTCAAATCCTCAATGAGGCCATAAGTCTCAGTATCTTTTCGAACTGCTTCCAACCACATCCTTTTGGGCCTACCCCTTTGGCTCTTAGGCCATATAAGTGTGATCGATGCCTTTTTTACTCCTTCCACTTGAACTAACTTGCACCTCCTAACAGGTGTTGTACTTGGTCGGCACCACACATGGCCAGCCCACCAAGTCTACTCTCTCTTTTTATCGCCTATTGGTATCATGCCTAAATTCTCTCGAATAGATTCATTTTTAATTTTATCTCTTCTTGTCTTATCTCTCATCCATCTCAACATCCTCATCTCCGCTACACTCATTCTATGGGTATATTGTTTGTTGTCTGCCCAACATTTTGCCCCATAGAGCACAGCTGGTCTCACCTCTGTCTTATAGAACTTGCCCTTCAGCCTCATGGGTATGAGGCGATCACATAAAATTCCAGTTGCACATCTCTACTTCGCCCAATCAGCTCTAATTCAGTGTGCGACATCTTCCTCGATCTCTCTATTTTCCTGGATTATCGACCCAAGATATCGAAAGTGCAGTCTTTTTTGTACTTCCTGGCCGGTCTAAGAAATTAAACAATTTATAAAAAAAAGTAAAATAAGGAAAACAATTGGGGAAAATTAGAGAAATTTATAAAAAAAAAAAATCGAAAAAAGGGGTAATTTTCAAAAAATAAATAAATAAGTATTAGCAAAACAATAACCAAATGTTGTAAATAAAATACAAAACAAAAATCTCATAATAAAATATTAAAAATAATAATCATGAACCCAAATCATAAGTAGGGAGAAAATAAGTACCACCACCACAATTTATTCAAAAAACAGAAAAAACAGAAAATTCGAAAGCAGAAAAATTATACTATGTTTTTCTTTCTCTGTATCTTTTTATTTCTTTTTTTATTTTCCTGTATTTCTGCTTTTCTTTTTTTCCAAACTGAAATTCAATAAATCAATAAATAAATTAAAGAAACAAAAGAACGCCCTGGACATATTTCTTTATTTGTTTTGCATTTTCGGATCATTTTTTGTTTTAATGAATTTTACAAAATATAAAAGCCCTTGCAAGTTGCAATTTAAAAACCAAAAGTATAAAAAAAAATTGCAATTTTGCACCAAATAATTTTTTTCTTTTCTTTTCTTTTTTTTTATTCACCTTTTAGGGGATTTGAACAAAATTTAATTGTACAAGCCCTTACAAATTACAATATTATAAATAAGAAAAAAACCCAACGATATTGGGGTTTTGCTTTCTTATATTTTCGGGTAATATCTTCAGGAGCTTTTATAAATTGTAAAGGCCCTTCAAAACAACGTCAAATTGCAACCAAAAATGAAAAATACCTCCATAAATGTAAGATCCTATTCTTCAAAGTCACCAATTCACCAGCCAAACATTTCCCACTCCTACGCAAGCATAGGTCAGCAAGTGACTTCTACGCGTGACTAACACTGGTATAAATGTAAAACGCTAATTTTTAATTTCCTAAAACTAACAAGGCAATACAAATTATCATTTGCAATTTGCTCCTTTTATGTTCAAGGCCTAATGGAGTTTCACATGCTTAATTTTTTTAATTTGTTTTTTTCCCTTTTCACTTGCAATTTGCCCCTTTCATGTTCAAGGCCTACTGGAGTTTCACATGTTTAATTTTTTTTCCTAGGCAGCCAAAGCCTTCCCCTCCCACATAAGGGCTTAGGCAAGGTGCCTAGGCATTTTGTGCCTAGGGGCCCAAGGTGATGCCTAGGTGGCACCCAGTGCCCTTCGGCTAGAGGGCGGAAATATGCTCTCCACCTAGGGAAAAAAAATGTCATTTTGAGGGGGAAAAGGATTTGAGGGAGCATTCCCCAGCCCCCCAAACAAAAAAAAAAAAAAACATAAAACCTACTTTGCTTGCATTTGAAAGGGATAAAATCCCCACAAACAAGTTTTTTTGTTTAAGTTTTTTTGAAGAGTGAAAATTTTCTGGAAGTATTCAATTTCTTGTGAAATCAAAAAGTAATCAACCCGATACTTTTTGTGGGTCAATTTGGTCATCACCGGTCATTGATTCGAACCAAAATCTAGTGCATATTAAACGATCATATAACTTTTTTTTTAGGGTTATATGGTATTCATGAATGTCTAGTTTAGTGTCCCCCCACCCCACTCTTTGGTTTTTTAATCTTTTAAGAAATGTTCAAGAAGACGGATGCGGTCGCCTAGGCAATCAAGGGTCTGGGCCGCCAAGGCAGCCACCCAAACACAAAGGCGGCCTAGATGATTCCTGTTTTCCAGCCTAAGTTGCACTTTAAGACATTTATCAAAATGATTTACAATTGATGAAAGGAGTGCAATGAATTACTATAGCTACTCATTGGTTACTATTACATGCAAACAAGTCAATCCGTCCATTTTTGGTTTACCAATAAATTAATATAACTACTCATGGTTACTGTTGCATGCAAAAAGCTTTTTTGACAAGTGGCATAAAAAGTCTAATCCTTCCATATATTAATTAAAATTGAATTGGTACTATTTTTTGGTTTACCAATAAATTAATATACTAATGGTTCCTGTCATATGCAAAAAGCTTTTTCGACAAGTGGCATAAAAAGTCAACCTTCCATATATTGATTAATACTGAATTGATACTGTTTTTTGGTTTACCAATAAATTAATATAACTAGGCTTTTTCATTAAAAATGAATTAATACTAATTTTTTATTTACCAATAAATTAATATAGCTACTCATGATTATTGTTACATGCAAAAAGATTTTTCAATAAGTGGCTTAAAAAGTTTGATCCTTCCATATATTAATTACAACTGAATTAATATATGGAAGGATCAGACTTTTATGCCCCTTATCAAAAAAGCTTTTTGCATGTAACAGTAACCATGAGTACCTATATTAATTTTTTTGTTTACCAATAAATTGTCATCACATGTTTTGCTATGTATATAAAGGCAAGCGTGGGTATTAATCTAGCTAAATGAAGGTGCAAGTCAAGGTGGCGCCTAGGCACCCACCTTTTACACCGCTTAGGCGGGCGCCTTGAGCGCCTATGCGGGAGCCTTGAGCGCCTAGGAGGGCACCTAGATGGACCTGCCTAGAGCATACCGCTTAGTTCACACCAAGGTGGTTTGAAAAACTGGCCGCCTAGGCGGCAAGGCGGCCGAATTTTCGTTCACTGCTTGTAAGTTTTTTTTCAAATTTAGGATTGTATTTGTGGCCCATATTCTTGATTGAAAAAGGACCAATAATGTGTCTTTCTTTTTATGTTTGGATTTTGTTGTTGTATTTTTATTTTGAGTTTATGCTTGGATTTGTGTCCCACATTCCATAATGGATTTTTGTTTGTGTTTAATAGTGTTTTACTAAGATTTGGTTCTTTTGTTTGGATTTTGTTGTATTTTTATTTTGAGTTTATGGTTGGATTTGTTTCCCGCATTCCATAATGGATTTTTGTTTGTGTTTAATAGTGTTTTACTAAGATTGGGTAACCCAATCTTAGTAAAATCTCTGAAATTTAATCAAAATGATTTATTTCTATTTGATTTTCTTCTTTATTTTTTGTTCTTGTATTTTTTTTTGTATTTTTTTTTGTTTTTTTTAAAGTTAATTGTTGGATAACCATTTTACTAGTATTTCTAAGATCATTTTGAGGCAACCAAACCCCTCTACGTAGCTTCCCGGGGGCCTAGACCCCTAATTTTCCTAGATGGGCTGCCTAGTGAACTACGTGCCCACCAGGCCACCTAAGCGGCCGAATCCGTATTTTTTGTCATTTGCTTATTCATAGTCTCCACCTCCAAATGTGGATCTATATGCAAAAGGCAATTAACTACTACAAATATATATACATTGAGCAAGGGCTAATTGTGAGAACCAGAATATTCTCAAATAGCTCATGGATGGTATCTCATGTTGTACTGTTGTCATCTCTTTCTCTATCTACTCGACATTTTTGGTCATGCATTACAAGTCATTGTTGAAATTGTAACAATAAAAATTTTCTACAATATTTATAAATTAAACTAGATTGGTGATCCATCCTACATATCAAGAAACAACTACAAAATAAAATTGATATGAATAACCCCCACCAATTGAGTGTTGAAGTCCATGGGGAACAGTTGCTTCTAAAAAATGAAATTTGTCCATACTCCATAGCAGTGAACGCAATATCGGCTGGTTCAACTCGGAACCGGCCAATGAGATAAGAATCGGCAACTGGCCGGTTCCAGTTTTGGCTAGTTTGGATGATCCGGCTGGGTATTTTAGAAGCAATTCAAAAAAAATCTCAAAAAATAAGGGATTTGTTTGTAATGCGTTTTTAAATGTTTTTTATCATTTTGGCTAAGATTGGAAAGTATTTTGGCCAAGAACACTTATTTTTACATTTTCCCATCTTTTTTTGAAAATTTTCAAAAATACCCCTGGGCACAAATTGATTTTTTTAAATCCATTTTTTAACTAATTTTCAACTTCATTTTGATGTGATTTGTTTAATAATGCTTTAAATATACTCTTCATTTTTTTTGGATTTTTTTGTTTTTATTTTTATTTTTTGTAACACTTTTTTGACCGTTGGGACTTCCCCAGTTAGGCCGATCTAACTGGCAGGTTTACCAGCTACTCGGAACCAGCCATTGGCCGGCTTCTGAGGCCGGTTCAATTTCTTAACACTGCTCCATAGTCTCATGAATTTGTCCATACTCCATAGTCTCATGAATTTCACTATGTTCAGCCCTTTCTCAAAAAAATTTCATGGGCCTAACAATGCTTCTCATGTTTATAGTAAGAAAAAAGACATGGATCAAATTAACAAGTTATCATTCAAACGCCAGACAAAGTTTAGATCTGGTAAAGGATATCCACTAGTGGCATCCCTCCACATGATTCTCTTTCTTCCAACTGTTCATGCATGCCCATATTGATTATAATGTGTGAAAATATGATAGGCATTTGGGTTTAAATAAGGAAGAGATGCTTAAGTACAGGATTTCTATAACTTTTTGGTGAGTAACATGGAACTGGCAGTTTCAAGATCCATTTTGGAGGGCCCTGAGGATAAGTGCAGAGCCCTTGAAGCAAACAAAAGTGAAATAATATGGTTGTAATAGTTATAACACTGACTAATCCTAGTGCCATTTTGTAGCTCCAGACGGTCATACGACAAGCATAAATAACAGAGTCAACAATCCTCATTATTTCCAGAGAAGGGAACACGTTAACTAGAATCATTTCCTTCTTATTTGTTCTCACTCTTAGAAGTGAAAGAGTAACCATAATCGATGCCCCTCAAGTTATTTTCATCAACTATAACAGAACATCTTAAATCCAAGTCCAGTTTCAGCAGAGGTAATTCACTAAGAGAGAGAAGCGACAGTTTTTTTCATGAAAGAGAGAAAAATCAATAAGTGAACAGAACCAACCTCCAATATTTCATGAGTCCTCTTCATGTTGACCATGGACAGGTCCTGGCACTTTATCTTCACAAGCTCAGACCTCCGCCATCTCTCATGAATCCCATTGACAATACCCTCAGTGACGCCAGGTTTGCCAACAATGAGCTTCTTCTCCAAACAGATCCCAATGGATCGAAGCCTCTGCAACTCTGCCTCAGGAATTCTTAGCTCTGCTAAACTTGGTGCACTCCCTCTCTCACCCTTGACAGCGTTCTTCTTTGCCTCTTTTCGCAATACATGGAACCTAGAGATCGCAGACCCAGAGCCAGGCTCTGGAACTGGGTTCTCTGGTGTGCTCCAGCTTTTGTCCAGCGTGGAGCCAACCCTAATTTTAGCCAGGTTTTCCAAGCGAGGGATGAAAATCTCACCGGGAGAACCAGGGCCTGTACATTGGGGCTCTGAATCATTTAATTCCTCAACATAGCCGAGGCTTTTGAGCTTCTCTGCAATCCGTTGAATTGCGGTCTTGCTCACAGTCCCATTACTGCAATGAGAAGCTGATGTTGCGCAGTAACGAGGGTTGCGAGGGTGGGTGAGGGTGAGAGAGAAGGGGTTCTTGAGGGGAGATGGGTACAGCGGAGAGAGAGGAAAAAATAGTGAGAAATGGTCCCCTGATAAGGAAGATGGACCCGAGGCAGCAAGCCACATTGGAGAGAGAGAATATGGAGAAACGCTAAAAATGGTAGGAAACGAGCTAATAGAGAGAGAAAGGAGTCAAAAGGGGAAGCAGAAAGAGAGGAATGCGCAAGCAAGAGAACGCTGGAAGCTAGAGAAGTAGGAATCACATTTTGGCGAGCAGAGACAGAAAAAAGATTGCGATATATCTCACAGACACATGGAGACTGTATAATTTGGGAAGGATAAACGAGACTGTGGTGGCTGACATATATAGAGCGCCAGAGGATAAGAGAGGCACCCGTTGCTATGGCTCCGACCAATGGAGCCCACCAGACTTGGGACCCGACTTGTAGACTTGATCTCGGGTCTGGATATGGGTCGGAATTTTGGACCCAAATGCCATTCGAGTCCGATTTTGAGTACAAGCTAAATTTTGGATTCGAACACTATAATTATAGGGTATATAACAACAATCATGTATCTTTAGGCACACATTAAGTATTCATACTATCACATATTGGCAATATTTACTTAATTATTGGCAAAAAAGAAGAAACTCATAGTCATAAGGTATATGAAAGTAAAAAACTTAGAAAGAAAAAAAAAAGTCATAGTTATATGGTGGCAATGGATCCGACCAGATCTAGAACCTGATAGGTCTAGTTATGGGTAAGAATTTTGGACCCGAGTCTAGATCCAGCCAAACCCAACTCGTACCCTACTTTTTGCCACCCCTACTAGTGCATTAGTGTTGAGTTGGAGGGTCAAGTATCATCCGCACGTCCACTGATTTATTGAGGCATCTACGCTTAAGGTATGTTTGACAAATCAGGATTTAAATATCCAAACTTTTAAAAATATGAATAAAGATATGAGCTGCTTTCTATATATCTTACTTTTATGTTATCATGATGTGGGGTTTTATGTGCACGTTTGATGGTCTACTTGTATTCAAAGCGATTAACGAATTGTTGAGTGAAGTGAAAAGTTTGCACAAGAAAAAAACAAAGTGAGAGGTAAGACACGCTTATATTGCCCATAGATTGCTATGAAAGACTTGTTGCTAGAACATTACCTACCAAACCAGTATACAATTCAATTAAAAGTGAAGACCAATCCTCAAAAACACTCTCTGAAGAAACTCAAAACAAAAAAGTTTGGGAAGAAAGACTATTCTTCCAGAACGAGAGCTTGTCTGCAATTTTTTCTATTCACCTTTAGAAGTGAACCTGCTTTCGTACATGCCATTGGACAATGAGGAATAAAACTAACCCCCAAAGAACCTTGACGAAAACCCAAAGAGGCAACAAATTTTCAAGGTTATACAGAGCTTCACTTGTAGTTTCTTCCCATTTCTAGTGTGTATATCCACCATTGCAGTGGAGCTCTAGTAAAACTCAGTTGTTCAAGAAAACAAGGAAGAAAATGAACCATGAGCTTATTCTTGGGAAAATTATAAAAAAGCCCCCCAAATTCCACTTTTTATGCAACTTAATCCCAGCTAACTTTTGCTCTCAACTTTTTCCAAAAAACAAACTTTTTATATACCCTCCAAGGGAAAAAGGTCATTTTTCTAGATGAAAATGCCCTTCTCGTAGCATATTGTCGAAGCACCCTTAAACAGCTATCTATGTAAGAGCGGTCCGACAATGTAACACCGTACTTCGACAGTGCGTAAGTGCGCTCCGGCAGTGTAACACAGAGCATCTGAGTCACAGGGCTCCGACACTGTTTAAATGCGTTCCAGCAATGTGATACGTGCTCCAGCACTGCATAAGTGCGCTCCTACAATGTAACACAACGCTCCGGCACTATGAATGTGCACTCTGGCAGTGGAGTATTCTGAGTCATAGGGCTCCGACACTGTTTAAGTGCGCTCCGACAGTGCTACGGGAAGGGCATTTTCATCTAGAAAAATGAACTTTTTCCCTTGGGGGGTATTTACATAAAAAGTTTATTTTTTGGAAAAAGTTGAGAGCAAAAGTTAGCAGGGGGTAAGATGCATAAAAAGTATATTTTTGGGGGTCTTTTATAATTTTTCCCTTATTCTTCATAAACTCCGTAGCTATGCAGCCTCTCTCTCTCTCTCTGCAGTTCCTTTCAAAATGCGAGCACATTAATCCACCATTTGAACTGGCAAATCACAACACAGAAAAATCATTTATTTTTTGAATGATTCAAAGGATAAATTAACTCCAAACTAGAAGCCAAACGAGCACCACAAACGAAGGGCTGGCCCAATTATCATTGCAAAAGACAAGCAATTTTTTATGTACTAAAAAATAAAACCTTAGGCAAAAAAAATCATAAAAAAACATGGAGAAGGGGGTTATTTACTAAGGCGGCTCTGCAGAGTCTTGATGGGCCTCAGAATCATTGTGCATGAAGAACCATTCAAACATAATAGGGCCTTAGAAAAATTGTTTTGCCAATAAGAATTTGTTGTCCTTCAAGAACCATTCAAACAAAACAGGACCTCAGGGAAATTGATGCGTTTGTGTAGAGATTTCCATTCATTAAAAAGAAGAAAAACATCAATCCCCAATCAGAGTGTTAATGGGCCTAAAAAAAAAACCCAAGCTTGAACATGTGCCTTCTTCATAGAGAGATTGAGAGATGGTGTAACTCCCTTCCTCATGATCGAGAGAGATTGTTTAGCACGATGAGAGAGATAGATGGTAGGAAGCGTCACAAGAGAGAAAAGGGTTCTTTTTTAAAGAGAGGACGAGAGTGTGCTAGACGGGCACATTTGTCTTTGTCAAAAGTGTGAAAGATTGTGATACCTAATAGGTCCTTAATTGTGAAAGATGGTGGGATGCATCACAAGAGAGAAGAGGGGTTCTATTTGAGAGAGAGGTGGGGCCTCGAGAAAGGTAGATAATGGATGAGAGAAGGAGAGACGCAAAATAATTTGATGGGGAAACTGAATCCCGCAAAATTCAACTACAACTTGAATTTTTGAGGATCCAAATATTTGAGGGTTATTAGAATATTATAAGATATGATTTGGCTCTATCAAACAATGGTTACAAATGCATATAATTCCAATTATAATATATTCTATGTCATCCTGAAATATTAGGATATCCAGGTGTTATCAAACACTTAAAGAAACAAAGAAAATTCTGTAATGGTGAGGTCTATAGATGGTGTTAACTTTGATATATGAGGCGCATCGTCAAATATCGATGGGTGATGCAGTTTTGGTAGTGGTGCATTGGACTCAAAATATGTTTTTACCACCGATTGTAAAATTTAAAACTTTGAAAATAATAGAAATTGAGCAAATAAATGAAAATTTTGAAAATAGATTGTGTTACAAGATACACTATTTTGAGACTTGAAATTTTTCTTTTTCTTTAACATTCATATATCTGAGATTAAGAAGATGAAATCGGAGTTTTTGAAATAATTTCTCACTTGGTTTTTATGTGCGCGCTATCTAAACCAATAACGCTTGTCCACTTTTTGAGTAAATAAGCAGTTTGAATTTCAAGTCTCGAGCCTGTTAATTTCAAGAAATGTATGTTCAAAACTTCAAGTTCTAAACCAATGTCACTTAGAAAAGATGACCCAGTTCAGAACTTGAAGTTTCAAACCAAGAGTTTTTGGAAAAAATAAAAAACTCCAAAATGAATATGAGACTAAAACAAAGAAAGCGGCGAATATTTTTAGAAAATAAACAATGCGTATTGTTGAAGATGCAATAAAAGAAATAGAAAAGAGAAATAGATCGATACAATATATACGTGGTTCGGCAATGGCCTACATCCACGAAGGGTAAACCAATATTTCATTCATAGGGATTACTCTTGTTTATCAGAGATTTATAGAGCTACAACTCTTACCTTTTTAGAAAACAAATCCCATCACAATTATAATCCCACAAGATAGAAAATTCAATAAACTCAATATGGGAAACTTTATATCTTGTAATATATAAGATAAGAAACTCAATATCTGATTTCTATAACTATCAACACTCCCCCTCAAGTTGGTGCGTAAATATCGATGGAGCCCAACTTGGACAGTATCAGATGGAACTTTGTCTTTGCAATAGCTTTGATAAACATATTTGCAAGTTGGCCTTCACTTCGAATATAAGGAGTACTAATTATTTTTTACTAAACCTTTTCTCTCACAAAGTGACAATCAATTTCTATATGCCTGGTTCTTTCATGAAAAACAGGATTGGATGCTATATGCATGGCTGCTTGATTATCATAGAACATCTCCATTGGATTGAACGTTTGGGAAACTCATATCTGGAAGTAGGTATTTTGGCCACATCAATTCACTTGTAGCTCTATATTTAGCCTCTGCATTGGATTGAGCAATTACATTTTGTTCCTTGCTTTTCAAAGTAACTAAGTTTCCTCCGACCAATGTATAATAGCGGGTACTGAATCTCCTATCAATTGTACTACCTGCCCACTTAGCATCAAAATAATCAACAATATTAGTATGACCATTCGGTTAACACCTCTATCGGGTGACAACTTAATATATCTAAGAATCATATCGATGATGTCCATATGACATGACCTAGGAGCATGCATAAATTGGCTGACAAGACTAACCACATACATTATATCTGGTCGTGTCATGGTCATTAATATGCCCACAAGTCTATGAAAGCAACCCACATCTTCAAGAGGTTTTCCATTTGTTGAATTAAGCTTGCAATTAATATCAATAGGAGTGTCTATAGGTTTGACTCTCAGTTTCCCAGTTTCTTTCAACAGATTTAATACATATTTCCTTTGAGAAGTGAATAGTTTCTTTTTTTAATGTCCTCCTTCAATGTCGAGAAAATACTTTAGTTGACCAAGATCCTTAATATCAAATTTCTTGTGAATATAATTTTTAAGCTTCATGATGTTTTCTTTATCATTACCTATAATGATAATATCATTGACGTAAATGAGTACAACTGTTGTACCTGAAGTTCCCCTTTTTGTGAACATTGAATAATCAACTGAACTTTTAAAAAACCCGACATTCATCAAAGTTAAACTAAGTTTAGCATACCATGCATGAGATGATTGTATAGGTCCATACAAGGCATTCTTTAATTTGCATACAAAACCTTTTTCATTTTCTTTAGAATGGCTTGGGGGAAGACTCATATAGACTTCTTCTTCAAGATTACCATGTAAGAAGGCATTTTTAACATCTAGCTGATGTAGAGACCGTCCACAATTAACTGCAATAGACAAAAGAATACGAACAATATTCATCTTGGTAATTGGTGCAAAAGT